GTTGACTTCAGGCTTCACAGAGGGGAAGGAACATAAGAATGAAAAAAAATTCGAGAGGGAGGGGGTGGGGGAGGAACAGAAGAGTTTTTCAAAGACGTAAAAGAGACAGACACAAAGGTAGAAAAAAGGTGAGGTGAGTACAGTGGAAGTAGACTAATATGACATACAGTAGGATCATGCCAGTTTAAAGTCAGAAGTCAACTGCAGGTTAATAGACTTTTTGCTGTATGGGTATGCGTTGCCCAGGGTGCACCACATGGAGGTAAGTCTATCGCACATCCCACGTCATGTAATATAGTATCACTCAAATAGCTGTTTGGAGTTACAAGAATAGGAAATTGATTGGCTAATTATGTGAAAAAACTCTCCAAAATGCTTAATGACTCAAATATTATTTATAATTTTAAATAATAAACCCCCCAAACGTTATAAAATATTTTTGTCGAAGTTTTTATAACCAATGATATTCAGTTTCTAAGTTATAAAATGACGTTGGAATCGCATTATGTTAATTAATAATTATTAATCAACAGGTGATAAATATAAAACTGTAAGGACAACACATGTGTATAAAGGTACATAAAAGTCGAAATCGTGTTAATAAAAGAAATTTTAAATAGCCAATGACGGTTTTATTATTATCTTAAATATAATAATCTCTGCAGGATTTCTGTGGGCTCAAAATATTGAGCTGCAGATTTAAAGATGGGCCCACTGGGATTTCCCCCTTTGTTCCTTTCCAGTACTCTATATCATTTTTTGAGACGAAAACAATTCAAACATTCATATCTATTTTATTAATAAATAAAAGGATATATATGATATATATATGTGTGTACTAATAATAACCCCCACCCTCCCTTTCGGCGAGTTAAATTTTTACCTCTAAACCTTATAACTTTCTGCATCAAAGTGCAAAATTCAATCATAACTTCTGCGTTCAACGAAAAGTTACCTAAAATCTTAAGAAAAAAACGATTTAAATACCTTTCTTATTAAAAATAGGAGAAACACAACAAAATATTCTTTTATCACCAGGAATTTCACGGCAATAAAAATATTTCAAAAACATATTTAAGTTGGGGGCCCATGGACGATGGAAAAAAAATCTACGACATTTGTGGGATACGTCATCGCATGCCTGCACGCCAGGACTGGGAGATACGACCGTACAAACAGTGGCCAATCATTAACCTCTGTTTGTTTAACCTAATCCGCCATCCTGATCATGATTAAGCTCCCTGCGTGTACACTTTATCCGCAATACCCGTACTGAATAAACGTACTCCGTGCTACACGTCTGTTTCCTTTCATAGCTGAGCTATAGCTTAGCTGGTTCTGGGAGTCTAGCTAGATGTTGGAGAATCTGCCACAGAGATTTCTGAGTCGGTCAGGCTTTAATACAAAAGCAATCCGCTACACATTGGTACTTAAAATAAACGAAAGTTTAGTCTTTTAACTAAAGTTTTAAACAAACAATAGCTTAAATTTAAAGAATAGATTAATTTAATGTAGAACTTATAACTGAATTCCACTTCAAGATTCACCATTCTAACTAAATCAAAATATGCACTACTGGCAGGAAGTTCAAATAGACGCAAACGTTCCCATAAAACATACCATCTTTTATTAAATTCTATTCATTCTATTGTCTCCCCCATATAGTTATGAGTCCAATTCATTAAAAAATGATTTTTTCCTTAATGTCGAATGTGTGATTGGTTAGTTCTACCCTTCAGGAGAATCGCTTTTCATCTTACTAATTATAGAGCTGATGCGTGCTTTTCCTATTTTTTTCCAATAAATTACCCTGACTTAGTCATGTTTCTATCTTCCAAATGCTCATTTACAGCGACTGTAAAAAATATTGCCTAATTGATCGTCTTCCAGTTACATCCTCACCTCCCCCGGTTATGGAGATTTGAAGATCAAAATCACCATACTGTATATATTACTTACAAATTAAGAGGGGGGGGGGGGGGCGATTATTGCATAAAGGAGTGTTTTAAACCTTTATTTCAACTAAGCGGAGAACGTGACCATGCATTGACTCACTCTTGCTTAACTTTGCCAAGAATTTCACCGTCAGGCGCTTCGAGGAAGATTTCCTGCATAAAATTGGAAACGAAATTTTGACAGCCCTTTCCGCAATCAGCTCGTCCACAATGCCAGAAACAACAGCAACAGAGATGGCAGGAGGCTAAAACAGCTCCACATTTAAAGTCCCTCCGAATGGTCACCAATTTCTCTCCTGCCGGGTTGAAAACATGGAGAGCAAAGGATCGAAGTCGACCACAAAATTGGCGGGTACAAATATCGGATTCTGCAAAACGAGGCAAGAAAATTGTCCAAATGACGCATTCGTAATGTATTCAAAACCTTGACATCTGCACAATTTGTATGATTTTTTTTACTTTTATTGCCCTTAATTGGCTATAATCATCTCTTCTCCACCTTATAATTGTAATGTTGTCATTATTTTAACAAGATTCCGCTTAAATTAGTTTATATCCTCCCTTTGTTAGATAGAAAACGCGAACTTTGGCTACAACTAGCAAGATTTTAACTGTTTTGTATAAAAGTAACTTTAACTTATTATTCCTTTCCAAAATAGAAGAATTTGGAGCGCAAATAACTGTCCTTACGTAATATCAAATAGGTATAAGGGTATAATTGAGTCTATTCGCTAGTTAATTTTGAAACAATATCGATATTAGTCATTTCGTGGAGGCATATTCATGGATACCAAAGAATGTAATATTCACTCGCTTTAATCAAGTTAAGGATTAAATGTAGATGGAAAATTGCCGAAGTTTTGGTCAAGCACTTCGTTCTAATGCTTTAGCGTCAATTATCGCTATTTAATGGCAAATTATGCGAATGAGTCGTGTTTCTCTTTAACATACACTTACTTATTCCAATGACTTGTAGGAATTTACTTGGACTTTTAACATTTAGAATAATTGCAGAATTTACCCACATTAATAGAGTTACAATAAATAAACACTTATGGGAGATGCCAATCGAAGAAACTGTGCATTACCATTGCATGCTTCCGGGGGTTAAGTGAGCATCTTCCCCACGTAAAGTTTATTTTAAAATAAAAAAATAATTTCATTTCATCAAGCCATTTGTACTTTTCAAATATGCTGATATTTTTAGTAAGGAGTCTTAACTCTTCGGTAGGAAGTGAGGCTTTAAACAAGCAGGCGGGTAAATTGCGAAAATCCGCGTCTCCGTGGTTTTTATTTAAGTAACGTAAACGTGATGAAAATAAGCAAATTTAAATAAGCGAATCATGCAACTTAAAAATTAGCCATATCAACGATAAAATAGTGAAAATCGCTGTCATTTTATTTGACCAATCGCTATCTAGATATATTTCTCACTGTTTTAAGAAAGGTATCCTCCAATAGAATTCAACCTATGCTATGACATTATAAAACTTTAATTATTTTATAATCTCTAATGTTGTTAAGGAATACCACGGTTTAGGTTAGTATATTCACTAAAGAGGAAGGACACTAAATATCATTATTATTGTGACTTAAAATTTAGACTGGTACTTTAAAATTCTTAAAATGAATAGAGCGCTAAATTCAGAGGGTAATAAAATATGATTCAAATGCAATCTAAAGACATAGTCTATTTTCAATTAAATAGTGAATGGGATGCACGGGCGTCGCAAATACACTAAATCTAGAAAAGGCATTAAAAATAAGCGAGAGGCAAAGCAGAGAAGACTCTAACAATGCTTTGCCTTGACGATGTCGTTAATATGTGAAACCGGTATTTTCCAAACGTCACTCTAGAAGACAACAATCAACTTTTGATGTGAACTGACGAACATCGATTCCATGACCCCTGAGTAAGCGGATATGTTTCTTGAGCACAAGATTACAGGTGTTCACGAGCTCCAAAGGGAAGATTTAATACTCTTTGTTTGAATACAGCTGCCAAGGCCTCGTTATTATAATGACAGGCTTGGGAAAAATCATTTCAAAAGATTTATTTACTCTCTGCAGTATAAAATGAAACCGGTGTTTAAATAAGACTTAGCTTAAGTACATTTGAAGGGTCGTGGGATCATGAATAAGCCGAGCTTGCAAGCGTTCAGCCAATAGAGATAAATGCTATTGAAGTTGAGACGTGAGATTATTGGCAGACAGAAAATCTCAAGAATGGCGCACAATTTGTTTACGGCTCGAGTATTAAAATGCCATCTAGATAGCGAACTTAAATAAAATAGAAACCAAAATTTTAATCAGAACCCAAAATGTCAGCAAGGGTCTTGCTGGATTCCATAAAACTGTTTAGACAATTATTATTAGTTGGTTGCTTACATGTTGCTCGCGATTAATTTGTGTAAACAATAATACAATTGGGCATTGTTTTATGAAATTCAAAGAATACATGAAATAAATAAATGCAATTTAATCAAGAATAGGCATTGAATAGTTTGGTTGGCTATATTTTCTCCATGGCAGCTGAAAAAGTGTATGAAATGTAGTATGTTATAAAACTCAAAATGCAAACAGGTATGTGGGACACGTTATCGCTGTGTGCGTCATCGTATGCCTGCAGTCTGCTCGCCAGGATTGGGAGGTGCGGCCGTACAACTCTGTGTGCAGCGACCGTACAAACAGTGACCAATCAGTAGCCTTCGTTTGTTAAACCTAATCCGCCATCCTGATCTTGAGTAGCCCCCTACATGTACACTTTATCCGCAATATGCTCACTGAATAAACGTGCTCCGTGCTGTACGTCTGTTTTCTTCATAGCTGGGCTATAGCTTAGCTGGTTCTGGGAATCTAGCTAGATGTTGGGGAATCTGCCATAGAGATTTCTGATTCCTAGCTAGATGTTGGAGAATCTGCCATAGAAATTTCTGAGCCGGTAGCTAGATGTTGGGGAATCTGCCATAGAGATTTCTAAGTCAGTCAGGCTTTACTTAGGGAATCTGCCATAGAGATTTCTGAGTTAGTCAGGCTTTACTAAGGTAGCAGTCCGCTACAGGTACGTGAAAATATTGTATATTTAGCATAAATATCCATTTTGGAAAGCGTCCTCTTACAGAGGAAATATTATGGAGACTTGATGCCAAGGTACTTCAAATCTGAAACCAATTTTATTTGTTAGGTTTGAAGAGTTCAAGTGGACATTCAGATGAACACCGAAACCATCACCTATGACTGCGCAAACGACCATGTTAGTCAAAATATCACTGGGTCACTTGAATGGGCTCTGATTTAATATATACTAAAATTTTTATATCAAATTCAATTAGAGATTCGAGTCAAATAAATGATTTAATTAACAAAAGTTGTTGGTAAACCGATGCCCAATTTGATTATTGCAGATTTTCCGATAATTATGTGATAATCAATAAAAAATTGACAAATAGCATTTGAGTAACATTTGATTGATATTAAATTAACACGTTCTTCTTCTCTCATTGTAAACTAATAATTATACCTCTTTTTTCATTAGAAACAGCAATATATTTAAAGTCAAAAGTGACTTGCCCAAATATTTGAATATATAAAATTAGTTAAAAATGAAGATACTGCTAAATAAAATAAAAATAAGTTTTGATGCGGGAGCGAAATAATATTTTGGGAGGATATGTAAATAAAGATTGTGGAAAAAGATATAATTCGAAACTTTCGCATTGAAAAGTTAGCTTATTTTGGTTATTTAAATGAATAAATGAAAATTATTTATTTTCACTTCAGCATGATTAAAATATATATTTAAAACGGATTAACAATGCTATAAGCTACAGTAATCGTTCAAAATAGCCACGATTATCAAAAATCAATAAAACAAGTATATATGATTAAAGTCGTATCTAAACCAAAAGAAAACTACGCAAAAACCCCGTTTTAACTAATTTAAACAAATAATAAAATTATGCAAATAATTAACAAGAGATTGTCTTGTGAAATTCTGGATAAAACTTATTCATTAAAACAATGCATTCAGAGCTGCATAAAGATTAATTACTTTTAATGAAGCGTACTGTTTTCCATTTGCCAAACCACTTGTCTATTAGAACAAGTTGATTTAAAAGTAAATTGAAAATTACCATCTTTCCCTTAAATTGTCCTTTAATTAAGATTAAGTGATGCTCCAATTACCTCAAGTTAGCCTGATTCAATCTTCAAGTTGGTCAAAAATAAGGCCTCAGAACAAAATTGCATTCATAAAAAATGATGTAGTTAAAGCAATGGCACAGCAATAATTAATTTTAAACGATATTTTTAAAATTTTGGCGGATTTATTTTTTAGATTGCTTAAGTAGGGATTTGCATAAGCCCTTAGCACAGCAATGACAATGAGAGTGATGTATTCTTTGATGGCGTTGCTAACCCAAAATCATTAGTTGTCCATCATGCTTGAAATTCATTAGGACACATTGCTTAGAAAGATTGAATAGACCATTGTGTCAGTGTACACAGGTACTATACTGCGTTACTGAACAATCAAGGATGAAAACATGCTAACCTTCCTTGAAAACAACTAGGAGACTTCATTTAATTGCCTTGTATTTCCTTAGCTAAATGTAGTTATTTAAGTAGCTTAAAATTGCGTCAATTTTTGGTCACGAAACAAGGGCCTAGGCGAGCTTTATGCTCCAAATCTAATTGCATTCTCTGCTACTTCCGCCCCAAAACCATCTGACTTCAAACTACTAAAAGCGCATCACGCTAATGTTTTAACAATAATTGCGCAGAAACTTGACAGTTCCGGAACAAGTCGAAAAAAATCCTTAAGAGGGAGGGAAGAAAGAGCATCTTTTTAAATCAGATTTTCAATATCATTTTTAGGTTTTTATGATGGTAATTTTTAAAAGATATTGCGAATCTAAAATAGCAACAACATGCTCGTAATTGCCCCTGAAAGGTATTGAATTTTGAGTGTCTAAACACTCACGTTAATAAAGGTCAAGGGAAATAGCGCAACGGGACTAAGTAAATTCCTTTTTAAGAAAAAAATCAATTAAAAAATGAGTCTAGAACATCGAATGAAGTAGGATTCTTCAACAGAATTCGAAATTTAATTGACTCAACCCTTCAGCTACTGCTAAACTCATTCACTCTTTTCTTCACAAATTTTTATTCCTTTCCGTTATTAAACTTGAATATGGCTTTGTTAGAGAAAAACCTCAAATTACGTAGAACCGAAATGAGCTATTTTTAAAATAACTTTTTTTCACAACATTAGAAGGAGCATCGGAACTTCTAACGAAATATCCATTGCTTTTAAACCAACCGCTAAATACCTACCGTGATAAGTCTCATCTCAATGCTTTTAAACCTACAATCTCATTGAAAAGGAAGAGTAAATGAGTATGTTCTTTCAAGTTAGACACTATGAGGATTGCGTTTTATGATCCAGTTCTGCGCATGTTTCAATCTCCACCTCATTAACAGACACTTCATTGAGCGTTGACAAACAGTTTGAGAAACAGCAAAAAATACAATGAGAGACATTTGATGGGTAAGCATAAATTGTTAATGAGTCTAATAGGACTAAGGTGGATATTGAAATTTCCAGGAAAACGGGTAATATTAATATTAATTCATTCATGTGTATGTTATCAGTTTGGGGTGTGCGATAGACTTACCTCCACGTGGTGCACCCTGGGCAACGTATACTCATACGGCAAAAAAGTCTATAAACCGGCAGTTGACTTCTGTCTTCAAACTACCATCATCCCACTGCATTTCATATTCGAATAATTTCACAGTACTCATCTTACCTTACCTTTTCTCAACCTTTGTGTCCGTCTGTCTATCTCTTTTACATCTGTGAAACATTGTCTGTCCCCCCTCTCGACTTTTTGCCACTTTGATGTTCATCTTCCTTTCTGTGAAGCCCGAAGTCAACTTAAGGGCTAATGATACCTATCATAACGCCTGCCATTTGAAATAAATAAATAAATGTTATCAGTTTAGCAAAGTAATGTGTAAAATATT